ACCCAAGAAAACACCAGGAAGCAGCAAACACCCTGGAAACAAAGAATTCTGACTCAAAATTTCTGCTACTTGACACTGTGTAACAAACGGACATGGTACAATTCCCAGCAATGTCTTTCAGAATAACACCTCTCAGCAAAACAGAAATTCACAACTGTAGTAACTGGCATTGTGGTCTAAAGAGCTGGACAGTACAGCTTCCAGATTTCCCACCTACCAGACATGTGACCTTGCACTGTTGATGAACATTTTTAACATCCAATAGTAAGTGACATTACCAAAGTTACCAAAACTGATTTTTCTCAGAAAGGTCAATTCTATAAAATTATAAGCCATTATGAAAGCATTCAAAACAGATGAAATTTTCAATCTCACCAAGTCTAAATCCTCCCTTTTACCTCTCCCAACACTCACTCCTCGCCCAGGTCAATTAAATCTGCCTAAGAAATTGAAGCGTTTTCTCATATGGAATCAGAGTCATTATCAGTCATCAACCGAAAAGAAACAGAGGGCTATGTCTAAGACAATCTCCCAAACTGTGCATGCAAGTTATAGTACTGGAAAACAATATATTTGAGGTTGAGGGGAAAACATCAGGACTCTGCAAAATTCCAGTCACTGAACTGTACTTTAAAATACTAAAAGATCTGTATATCCTATATACACTGGAAGTTAATTAATTCTGATTTTTAAACACTCATTCTTGTAATAAGGAAGCATGAGAACATCTGCATGACGATAGTATCCAAAGCACAACTCAAAATGCAAGATATAATAGCAATGCAGTTATTTTTCATTATTCACTTTTAAATTCTTCTATTTAATAAATCACCCTTCAAACGAAAGTATTTACATTCTTCCTAAGACAAAACAGAATACAATAAGTGGAAAACAGTGGGATTTGAAAGAAAACATGAAAAATTAATAGTACTCCTACAAAACCCAATTTACATTCCTACTCAAGATCCAACAATGGAAGAGCATATCATTAACAATTGTATGGACAGGAGTTCTACCTTCAAGTAACACTATAGAACTATAATGGTAATTGTATTACTGATAGATCCTAATGTGGGCTCCCTATCAGTCATTTGCAAAACAACAATTACCATAAGAACATCATTAACAATCATATGCTCAGGCATTCTATTTTTTCAATAATGCTCTGATAAATCCCAATGTGGATGGTTTGTGGAAGAAATATGTAAAGCAAAAAAAAGATTTTAAGAATATAAAACTGATCAAATAGATTTTTACAAAAAGTTTTTCAAACAAGCGTTACAATCAATTTCCTTCCCTCTCTACAAATGTTACTGTCATCTGTTTGTCCCCAATTTTTTAAAAAAAGCTTAAAACAAGCCACTCTTGGTTTGATTCTACCTCCCTGCAAACTTCCCAGAGAGTCAGTCTCAATACATAAGACAAGCCAAACAGGAGGTTTGTCTACTTTACTTACAGTGAAGGTTGAGACGAGTAAAAGTGAACCCCTGAATTTTCATGCTGCCAACATCAGCCCAGACACTAAAATTGATCACTTTCTCTAAACTTTCCAGGGAAACATTGTCAAAGTTATTTCAAATTTAATTTTTTATTCTTTAGTCATATTTGCATTTGGTTTTCTTTCATTTTTTTTCCTCCACCTTCTGGGGACCAAGAGCTTTTGCACATGCTACACAAACATAAGGTTTTCTTAGTAACTATGCTAAGAGCTCTAGACTTACATTTCAAACACTGATCATTTCTTTTGGCCCACTTATATTACCACACTTGTCTCATTTTATGTATCAACTACTTACAAAGCATATCTAAATAAAATGCCAGGATGCTATGACTGCCTATAACCATAATGGACCATATGGTTTGAAGTCAAACAAGCCACAGAAGGGTTAAAACAGATGTAACTGAAAACAAAAAGAGGGGCTGGGAGGGCGGATCAGTGGGAGAGTGCTTGCCTTGCATGCATGAGGCCCTGGGTTCGATTCCTCAGCCAGATAAGCAGAAAAAGCCGAAGTGGCACTGTTGCTCAAGTGGTAGAGCATTAATCTTGAGCTGAAGAGCTGAGGGACAGTGCCCAGGCCCAGAGTTCAGGCCCCACGACACACACACACACACACACACACACACACACGAGATTCAATTACACACACACACACACACACACACACACACACACACACACACACACGAGATTCAATTACTCATTGTAAGAGTTCTACTAATTCTACCAGAGTATTTTTGTATCCTTCTGCTTGCACAACTTGTAGAATATTTCATTTTCACACTCAATTACTATTGTCTCAAGCAGCTAAATTGAAGTAGTTCTGCAGTCAGTTCAACTGAGAGGTCAGCGTGCCTCAGTTGCCTGGAGACTACAGCAGCACCAGATAAACCAGACCAAATAAGCTTGAGCTTCAAGGTAGGAAGCATTTACTGCCAAACAGAAACGCAGATGCAGTCATCTCAGAATGCAGCATTTGAATCTAACTGGATCATCCTATTTATAAAAGACCCATCTTACCCAAACATAGAAAGGGGATACAAAGTAAAGATTTTAATTGGACTGAATCCTAGATTACTTGCAATTCTGATTTCTTTGTTCTTCAGCTGAATCACATGTTAGATGGAATTTTCCCTATAGCTATAAATTTCCCTTTACAACCACTTCTCCCATCCACCTCTCCCTAGTGCCAATCCCTAAACCGACAAACATAATGAATAAGAAGAAATTAGATTTTTGCTTAATTCAGCCTGGAATTAACCAGAATAATTAAAATGGAATTTTATAAAGACAGAAAAGAAAATACACTCTGAAGTTGTGTATGAGAAGTGGTACAAGAATATCAAGCTTCCAAAAAGCACATAGCTACATATTTAAAAAAGAGATCAAAGCCAGGTGCCAGTGGCTCACACCTGTAATCCTAGCTACTCAGGAGGCTGAGATCTGAGGATCGAAGTTCAAAGCTAGCCTGGGCAGAAAAAGTCTGTCAGACTTATCTCCAATAAACCACTCAGAAAACCCGAAGTGATGCTGTGGCTCAAGTGGCTCAAGCTAGCCTTGAGCTGAAGAGCTAAGGGACAGAGCCCAGGCCCAGAATTCAAGCCCTGCAACCAACCAAAAAAAAAAAAACAAAACAAACCAACAACAACAACAACAAAAACCCACAGAGATCATACTATTTGTGATAAAAAGGGGTAATACTATTCAGTTATTCTTTCATTTATTCTTTCACTCTAATCCCAAATTACTATGTCAACACTTCATTTTTCTACTGGTATAAACTCAAGTAAAACCTTCCCAAAATAATCAAATTCCCCTAATTTAGGTTGAGAGGTTCATCAAATAGTTAAATTTTCATCTCAAAGATGCTGTTCTATTGCTAATCACTCCATAGATTTGCTGGGCGGCACTATCTATCATTTATTCTAAGATGTAGCTCAGTTACAACAGTGATTGCGCTGCATCACTAACACACATGAATTAAAAATAACCTGATGCTGTGCTGTGATGTCGAAAAAGATGCATGTAAAGCCTCAGACATCAGAAGTTATGTATACGTGAACATTTTTTTGTTGTTTCTGTTTTGTGGTGCTAAAAAATGGAATCCAGGATCTCGCATACTCTAGGCGCTATGTTTAGTATTGAGCTCTATCCCCAGCTGCAAAGTTCAAACTTACAGCAAATTACAAACAACCACCTAATTAATTTAATTAGTCACTAGTACAAATCATTGGAGAGATAAACACGGCATTGGAAACAATTTCAAATAAATTTTTAAAATACACTCTTAGGGAATCTTAAGTTATTTTCTTTGGAGAAAGAGGACAGAAAGAGGGAGGGAAGGAAGGATATAATACCTTTGCCCATTTACTGTCCTGTTCATAGAATTCAGAATTTTCTTTTTCCTACTTCACTCTTGCTTTTAAAACATTCCTATGGAATAGATTATCTTATCAAGCTATAGATCTAAACTGAAGTAAAAAACGATAATGAAAGAGCCTATTTATTCACATTAATTGTAGTATTTATGAACACGTGGTATCTGCCACTAGGAGAGAAACCATACCTCCTCCTGTGCTGGTTCTAAAGATTTAACTTCAAATTTTTATGTGTTTTTTTTTTTTAATTTAAAAAGCACAAAAGTGCAAAAATTAGTGCATGCTTTGAGAATCCAACTTTTGCTCTCTTGAAATTATGATTTTAATCATCGGGACAATTTGAGGAATGCAGAAGCTGCAAAGAACTGGATGGTACCCACATACTCACTGTCCTCTTCTCCTAAAAGTCATGTAAAGGGCTGGGAAGGTGGCTCAGTGGTAGAACGTTTGCCTTGCATATCTGAGGCGCTGGGTTCGATTCCTCAGCACCACATAAACAAAAACAAAAAGCCGGAAGTGGCGCTGTGGCTCAAGTGGTAGAGCGCTAGCCTTGAGCTGAAGAGCTGAGGGACAGCGCCCAGGCCCAGAGTTCAGGCTCCACGACCGGACCCAAAAAAAACCAAAAAACTAAAAATCATGTAAACAAGTCTCTTATTTTCACTAGCATGTTAGTACCAGCTAAGCTATTTCACAAACTCCTACAGAAAGCTCTATTTCATGTTTCTTCCTCCAACCAGACTATAAAAATAAAAACGACAACTCAGGCCAAGCACAGTGGCTCATGCCTGTAATCCCAACTACTAGAATGAATTTCCAGGCCAGTTCCTAGGCAAAACATTAGTGACAACCTACATCACTCAGTAAGCTAGAGGTACTGCTGTGCCTGTGACCCCAGCTATTCCAGAGGAGGCAGGAGGAGGACTGCGGTTCAAGGCCAGTGCTGGACAAAAGCAAATAGATTCCACCTGAAAAACAACTAAAAAAAAAAGGCAAAAGAGGGAGGGTGACTCAAGTGGTTACAGAATTTTCCTGGCAAGTATGAGGCCCTGAGTTCAAACTCTATCTAGTACAGTTGAGGATAAAAAATGTAAATGCAGCTACCATGTAGAATTGCAGTGAGTTACCTGAGTTGTGGCAGCAGCAGGGGCTGCAGGCGGCACAGCTGAAGGGGAGAGCGCTCCCACCTGCTGCAAATGCCCAGAAGACTGCTGAGGTAAGTGAGAGCTGGAGACAGGCGTGCTGGAGCCGGAGCCAGACACGACATTTGGGAAGGACACTGCTACATCACTGCTGTTGTAAATGCCTGCAAGACATTCATTTAAAACAGTTTATACATTCCATTTACCACAGATGCACATCAATAGCCAATAACCTAGAGTACCCATACTTCTCCTTGAGCCCAACCCCCAAAGTAAATGTTGTTAGTGTTTTTAAAAATAAAACCCAAAGTTGGCCTTCATTTGGCACAATATTTTGGGTAAAAATTCAAGGACCACATCAAAAAGTTTTGTCAAAAATATACTAAGTGTTGCTAGGCGCTGGTGGCTCATGCCTATAATCCTAGCTATTCAGGAGGCTGAGATCTGAAGATCGTGGTTCAAAGCCAGCCCAGGCAAGAAAGTCTGTGAGACTCTCATCTCCAATAAACTACTCAGAAAAAGCTGAAAGTGGCACTGTGCCTTAAGAGGTAGAGAGCTAGCCTTGAATTCCTAAGAGGAATGAAACGGTTCTGAAATAATTCTCTTTTAAAAAACCACTCAGTAAGCCTTTCAAATTACATATGCTCAGATCTCAGAAATCATGATTAAGATCTAGATGGGAACAAGCCTTGTTCAAGAAAACCTATAACCAGGCACTGGTGGTTCATTCCTGTAATCTTTAGCTACTACTCAGGGAAGCTGAGATCTGAGAATTGCGATTCGAAACCAGCCTGGGCAAGAAAGTCCGTGAGACTCTTACCTCCAATAAACTACTTAGAAAAAGCTGGAAGTGGCACTATGACTCAAGTGGTAGTGAGCTAGCCTTGAGCCAAAGTAGCTCAGGGACGGCACCCAGGACCAGAGTTCAAGGACCAGAATTCAAGCCCCAGGACCAGTCTCCCCACCCGCCCCCCCCCCCCAAAAAAAAACAAAGAAAGAGAGACAGACTATAATGTAAAAAATAAAGCAGTACAGGACCAGATTTGAAATTCAGTAAACAAATACCTGTGAGAATAAAGCTCAAGGTATATTCTAGACAGTTATGTGAAAGAATAAACGCTGTTGGGGGCAGTGAGCAGAGGTGGCGGAGGGGTAGAGCTGAAGTCTTGATGACGGGTGGGTGACTAGGTGGTGGTCCCCATTCAACTTCTGAGATCATAGGATATAAAAGATGGTAGTAGACTTGATTTAAAAAAATTTTCCCATTGCATCACGGGTAAAATAAGAAAAAAGGAGTTAGGACATTGGAGCTATTCATGCTAAAAAAGAAGATCAGAAAAAAAAAAAAAAAAGAAAAAGAAAATGAGTCTAAGAGGAGCCGTGTACTGGGGAAATCTAAGAGTGTGTGTAGGTGTGTGGACATTTGTACTTGCATACTACAGTCCTGAGGCTTGAACTCAGGACCTGGGCACTGTCCTGAAGCTTTTTTGCTCAAGGATAGCACTCTACCACTTGACCCACAGTTCTATGTCTGGCTTTTTTTTTTTTTTTTTGGGTGGTAAATGAAAATAAGAGTTTTATGGACTTTCCTGCCCAGGCTAGCTTCCAAACCAGATTCTCTGAGCTTCCTACGTAGCTAGGATTATAGACATGAGCCACTGGCACCTAGTGCTAATAAGCTTTATTTTTAAATGGGAAAAACTGACCACTGCTGAAAAAAAAAAAAATCTCACAGACAAATGTTTATAAGATAGGAACATTCACAATCAAGTAGTTCTTAACCAGGGGAATTTCTACCCAAAAGAGAAATTTGGCAGTGTCTGCTGACATTTTCAGCTGTCAAACATAGTGAGTGCTACTCAATGGATGGAGGCAAAGAATGCTACTACCATCTAGGACAACGAATTACCTGGCCCAGAGTATTGACACTATGGAGTATGAGAAACCTTGCTACAAATTGGAGCTGGAGGGAAAGAGGAAAGGAAATTCAAGACAGCCTGGCATTTAATAGGAAGAAAGCAAGAAAGTATGAGCCTAAGTGGTCTGCAGTTTAAAACAACAACAATAACAACAACTTTATAGAAACTACAGCCCTAGAAGGCAATAATAATTTGTAAATTATATCAAGTATACAAGTGCAACTTACTTTGTTCTAAAGAGCATAAATACTGACACATATTTTTTTTTTTTTTAAAAGCCAGGCACAATAGCTCATACCTGTAATCCCAGCTATTTGGAAGGTCAGCCTGGGCAAAAAGTTTACAAGATCTCATCTTGATCAAAAACCCAGGCACGGTGGTATACACTTGTAATCCCTGCTACACGGGGGGGTTCAGGTAAGAAGATCAAGGTCTAGGAAAGCTTGGGTAAAAAATGAGACCCCAGGCAGGTGCTGATGACTCTCACCTGTCATCCTAGCTACTCAGGAAAAGCTGAGATCTGAGGGTCATGGTTCAAAGCTAGCCCAGGAAGAAAAGTCCCTTGAGACTCTTATCACTAATTAATCACTCAAAAACCAGAAGTGGTACTGTGGCTCAAAGTCAGAGTGCAAGCCTTAAGCCCTGAGTTCAGGTCCCATAACTGACTGGGGGAAAAAAAAAAAGTGAGACCTTACCTGAAAAATAACTAAAGCAAAAAGGTATGTAGCTCAACTGGTAGAGTACATGCATACAAGCATGAGGCCCCAAGTTCAAAGAGTAGCACCACCACCACCCCCTTGCCAAAACCAAAGAGCTACAGTCTTCTTTAAACAAAGGAAGAGAATTTTGAGTATTTTAAAAGGCCATAAAACTGCAACTATGTGTAGTGTTGGAGGCTCATGCCTAAATTCCTATTTCCTCAGGAGTCTACGATCTAAGAATTGCACTTTCAAGCCAGCTCAGGCAGACAAATCAGCAATAACCAGCAAAAAGCCAAAAGTGAAGTCATGGCTCAAGTGGTAGAGCTCCAGCCTTAAGCAAAAGAGATCAATGAGAGTACAAGACCCTGAGTTCAAGCCCCAGTACCAGAGACAGGGGGGAAGGCCTGTAATTAAGCCTATTTTTTTTATATTTGCAATCTCTGCAGAAATAATATGATTTACCCATTCTGCAAGTAGCTCAAAACTCATAGTTTGCCAGTTCTAATCTTAAATCCTTCATATAATTATTCAAAATATATGCTATCTGCCTTCAAGAAGCTTAGTGGGAAAAAAAAGACTATTGCAAAAAGTTGTGAAAAATGATATGACAGGGGCTGGGAAGGTGGCTCAGTGGTAGAGCGCTTGCCTTGCATGCATGAGGCCCTGGGTTCGATTCCTCAGCACCACATAAGCAGAAAAAGCCGAAAATGGTACTGTGGCTTTAGCCTTGAGCTGAAGAGCTGAGGGACAGTGCCCAGTCCCAGAGTTCAGGCCAACTCCCACCCTCCCCGCCAAAAAAAGAATGGTATGACAAATTTATTCACAGGTCTATGACTGCACAAAAAGGGGGCTATCTAACTCTGACCTCATGAGAGAATATGGAAGTCAGAAATGGTGCTGTTAACGCTATAGGCGGCACTACAAAAAGAGCAGAACAGAGGGAAGGATGACTGGAGGGAGAAACAACAGAGAGCAGGCTAAGCTCTAAGCACCATCTATATTCCTTACGCACTAAATACAGAGAAAGAGTATGGAGCAATAAAAGAACATTTGCAGAGAAAATATGCTTATTTAGAGGTAAGTTTGGTGTGATCACTGGTGAATAAAGAACCAACTACAGGCAATGGCTGTTAAGTCTCCAACCAAGGTAACTGTAGTCAAGAGACAGGGTCATGGGACCAGGTAACTACTAGTTAGATCTGAAAAGGAAAAATGACCCAGCAGTCTGGAATGACTCTTCAGCACTCTTAAGTGGGATAACAGTCCAAAAACAGAAATAACGGTGGACAGCTGACAGTATTTGGCTTCTATGTGCAGGAATAGGTCAACAAGGTAAACACTTTCATTTTACATGCAAGCAAACAGCAGTGTACAGAAATAAAGTGACTGGCTTAGTGATCTAGTAGGTGTCAGAATCAGGGCTTAAGCATCCAGCTGTCTGAGTCCAAAATTAAAACTATTTCCTAATATTCATTTGAGCCTCAGGAGGATAATCATGGTCTATGCAATTCCTGTGGGACACAGGAATCCTGCAGAGTCCAGAACACAATGCAATGAGCCTGAAATTTAACGAAATACCAGGTCTGGAGTCACAAATCTCCAAGCCAGAATCACAGTAAGTTAAAAGTATGCAAACTCAAAAAGACTTGTACTGGCCAAGGCCAGTAGCTCACATCTGTACTCCTAGCTACTCAGGAGGCTGAGCTCTGAGGATCACATTTCTAAGTTAGCCTGAACAAGAAAGTCCTTGAGATGCTTAATCTCCAATTAACCACCAAAAGCCTGAAGTAGTGCTGTGGCTCAAGTGATAGAACATTAGCCTTGATTTAAAAAAAAAAAAAAAAAGCCGGGCGCTGGTGGCTCACGCCTGTAATCCTAGCTACTCAGGAGGCTGAGATCTGAGGATCGCGGTTCAAAGCCAACCCAGGCAGGAGAGACCGTGAGACTCCTATCTCCAATAACCACCAGAAAAACCGGAAGTGGCACTGTGGCTCAAGTGGTAGAGCTCTCGCCTTGAGCTGAAGAGCTGAGGGACAGAGCCCAGGCCCAGAGTTCAAGCCCCACGGCCGACCAAAAAAAAAATAAATAAATAAAATAAAATAAAATAAATCACTGTCGGTCTACACTAAAAATTTTAAATTTCACATTGAAAAGTCTAGATTTCCAGTTTCTCTTGAAAAACATTATCAATACTACATCCGTATGTTCTGAAACAGCAACAAACTAGCTGGACCTTTGGACTGTTTATAGACACTTCATCCTTCAGAGTTCCCAGCACCCTGCACTGTGTCCATTATCTCGGCACTAACTTACATAATCCACTCTACCCCCCCCCCATTTATTAAATCTGATATGGACAGTAGTAAAAGTCAAGGAACAAAAATGGACATCCCAAAATATATTCTCGAAATAATCAAGAGAAAAGGACCAGAGTAGAAACCTTCAAGACAGGCAGACAAAACTAGGTGTAGAAATGACAAATGTAGGGCTAGGAAGGGTGGCTCAGTGGTAGAGTGCTTGTCTTGCATGTATGAGGCCCAGGGT